GCAACCCTAGTTTTAAAGGTCTTTAAATGATTATTCTTTGTTTTTTAAACAATCAGCAGGAAGGATTACCATAGTTGCAGTTTACGTTGATGATATTTTAATCACAGGGAATTACTCTACTGAGCAGGCAGACCTCAAATCTTTCCTTCACTCTGAATTTAAAATTAAGGACCTAGGGGATGCATATTATTTTTTGGGATTTGAGATTATAAGGGAAGCGCATGGAATAATATTGACTCAAAGGCGATTTACCTTAGATCTCTTGTCTGAATTTGACTGCATGAGTACGCGCCCAGTTTCTTCTCCCTTGGATCCACTACTCAGAAAATGCAAGCAGAGGCAGGGACTCTGCTCCAAGATCCCACTTATTATCATCGGTTGTTAGGAAAGTTGAATTTCCTAACACACACCAGACTGGACTTGTCCTTTGCGATGCAGCATCTTAGCCAGTTCATGCAAACACCTCGTTAACCCCATTTAGCTGCTACATTACATTGCCTCAGGTATCTCCCCAAGGAGCCAGGATTAGGACTTTTTCTGAATTCAAAGCCTAATTATCAACTACTTGCTTTCTGTGAGTCGGATTGGGGATCTTGTCCTCAATCTCGCAAGTCCATTAGGGGGTTCTTCACTAGCTTTGGGGGTTCTCCCGTCTCCTGGAAATCAAAGAAACAAACCTCAGTGTCATTATCCTCTACTGAAGCAGAGTATAGGTCTATGCGCAGAGTCACAACAGAGCTTACTTGGCTAGTGCACCTATTGACTGGTCTTTCGATCCCCCCCCCCCCCAATTGCCAGTAGATCTCTTCTTCGACAGTCAGGCCGCCATTCACATCGCGAAAAACCCAGTTTTTCACGAGCGTACCAAGCATGTGGAGTTAGATTGTCACTTTGTCCGGCAACAATCTTTGGCCAGCATCATCTCTCTTTCTTACATCCCTTCACGGTCTCAGGTGGCTGACATTTTTACTAAATCCTTAGCAGCACTGGCACAAAACTCCATTATTGGCAAGTTGGGTGTGGTTACACCCCCCATCAACTTGGGGGAGGTGTTGGAGCTATTTGTTTGTTACAAGACGCCATGGCTGAGAAAGTTTTAGATGAAGAAGAAGAGACAAGGAAAGAGGAACTAGGGCTTTTGGTCTGAACGAAATAAAGTTTGGTCGTAGTGACCAAAGCTTTTTATCTTCTTTGATACAAAGCAGTTGAACCGTTCAACACATAACAAAACTAAAGATCAAGGACATTCATCAGATGCAATCTCATTTAATCAGCACCATTAGTCTGGGACAGTTGTTCACTTTGGATATTGTTTCTAGAGGATTCATTTTAGTGCATCTGAGCACGTGACAGTGTATCTGTTAGCTTTTATTTTTTATACACAATAGCTAGGTAGTTACAAGCCCACAAATAAAAATAGTACACGTATAAAATAGAGTAACAGTTTTTGATTCTTTTATTTGTATAAATACATGTAAAGGAAATGAATGGAATACGCAGAAATTTTCTGTCACTATCTTCTTTTGGGTATTCCTTCACGTGATTCGAGACCAAATTTGATCATTCTCTCTAATTTAATTTTTTTACATATTTTTTAGTTCTTTCTAATGTCGTTAATGCAATAAATTTCAAGGAATTTTATAGAAGTTTTCGACACTTTTTCTGAAAACAAACGTCACGTTACCAAGTCCTTTTTCCCTTTAACTATTTGTTAGAATTACTTTAGTTTTTAACGAAAAGTTGAGAAAGTTCTGCACAAGCCACGTGTAAGATTCAGAAAAATCCTCGTCAACAAGGACCGTAAGTAGGAGTACAAGATACAACTGCGTTTCCTTTCTTTGTCAACTTGAAACCAGTGGCCAAATATATGTCGATATAGCTAATGAATTTGAATCGATTTCAGGTTTCTCATTCTTCTCTGATCTCTGTTGGTACATAACTACATGTATGTACGAACATTTATGAGTGTAGGCAAAGGTCTTTACTTGGTTAAAATAAATTTTTGGTACAATTTTAAGGGGAACAGTCAAATTTTTTCCAATGCGAAATTGTTAAACTTTTATCTAATCCTAGTCCAGTTTTAGGGAAAAGTTTTATTTTAAACCTTAGTTTAACTTGTTATAACAAATAACTAAATTTAAGTATCATATGTATAATTTTTTGACACGATTAGTATAGTTTAACTTATAATAGTAGGTTTGTCATTGTTTTTATTAAGTTACTAACTAAGCTTATCATGTGATACATAGAATTTAAACTACCATTTTATTCCAGGTTATTACTGTAATTACTTTGATTGTATGAATATTTTCAACACCATTAATGTATAGAGTTTAAATTCTTCTTGTATTGGTGTCTTTTTCATCTGCGGTTCCTTCAGGCAACCTAAGTAATCTCTCCTTAAAAACAAATGGTGAGACAGTGAAAAGGATGGCATTAGTTGTTTGCTTTGGGGAGATGTTGATTGACTTTGTTCCAACTGTTGGTGGCGTTACACTTGCCCAAGTTCCAGCTTTCCTAAAAGCTCCAGGTGGTGCACCTGCTAATGTTGCTGTTTGTATCTCAAAGTTGGGGGGTTCCTCTGCTTTTATTGGCAAGGTGCTGTTTTCTCCTTCCTATTGTTATCTGTGTGTGTTTGTTCGGATAAGAATTCTTGTTTATTTATTGATTTTTTTGAATAAGATTTCATTGAACCAGGAAAATGTATCCATTTGATGAGAGATACTGAAATAGTGAGTGGAGGAGAAGAAATCCTTCAATTCCTTGATGCTTCGATATGTTTTAAACTAATTCTGCTGTAAATTCAATATGTTGTCTTAGTCATGGTATTTCTGTCAAATGGACTCTAAATTATCATTTCATTCATTGAATTTTAGTGTTTTCCGTCAAATACTTTTAGGTTTTGTCCAACGTAAAGCAGAGGATCTGAGAAGATCCTTATTGAAGGACTTCCGAAGGGAAAGAAAGAGTTTAAGCCGCTATTGTGAGTGGACTAATCTTTAGTTTACCTCCCATAGCATTGGATAGGCTAGTCTAGGGGATGCTTTCTGTAAACGAAATACAGAGATGGTTTGTGCTGTTATGAGCATACTTCCGTTCCGCTAATTTAGGTGAAGAAATGGAGACAAGGAGTTCATTTTGTGTATGCTTCAAGTTTTCTTTTTATCATTCAATACAACTAATTTCAGCATGGAATTTACAGCTCAGGCTGTCTAATTTCTTAAAAGTCCAAGCATAGATCAACTCAGTCCTGTGTTTAATTTGATTTGGCTAGTTCGTTTTGTGGACTGGCCTGTTGGACCGTGCTTATAGGATTACTATATTTGCAGCCAACATCTTGTGTGCTTTAATTGTCAATGACTTGTTATTTTGGCCTAAAAATTTTAAATTAGGTAGGTGATGACCAGTTTGGCCATATGTTGGCTGACATTTTAAAGAATCACAATGTTGACAATTCTGGCATGCGGTTTGACCCAAGTGCAAGGACTGCATTGTCCTTTGTTACACTCACTGCTGAAGGTGAGCGTCAGTTCTTGTTTTACCGCAACCCTAGTGCTGATATGCTTCTTCAGAAATCAGAACTTGACATACATCTTATTGAAAAGGTGTAACTTCCTGTCTTTTGCTTCAGTATATCCCCTAGCTTGAATGCTGCTTTTCCTTTAACAGGCGTATTAATCATGTGCAGGCCGTCATTTTCCATTACGGTTCAATTAGTTTGATTGAAGAGCCCTGTAGGTCAACACAACTTGCTGCTATGGATATTGCTAAAAATTCAGGTTGCATACTGTCGTATGATCCAAACCTGAGGCTGCCCTTGTGGCCTTCAGCTGATGCTGCTCGAAGTGGAATAATGAGTGTCTGGAACCAAGCAGACGTTATAAAGGTAAGACATCTTTCACGGGTGTATCATCGGCAGACGTATTGAATACTAATGGGACCCTTTCAAATCTGCAGATAAGCGACGAGGAAGTTTCATTCTTGACTCGAACTGATAATCCAAATGATGAAGATGTGGTGTTAAAGAGGCTTTTCCATCCTAATCTGAAAATTTTGCTTATAACAGAAGGTTCAGCAGGTTGCAGATATTACACCAAGGTATATATTCTAATATTATTTTATTCTCATTAACATATCATGTTTTATTTTTATATAAGCGATGGACCATCTATATTTCTGAACACAAAATATTTTGCTAGCCCCAATGTATTTTTCCCCTGAAGATAGAATTGTCTCAATCGTTGACGAAATTTTGCTGAATTTATGTGCAGGAATTCAAAGGAAGAGTCGATGGAATTAAAGTAAAAGCTGTTGATACAACTGGTGCCGGTGATGCGTTTGTTGGCGGAGTACTCAAATGTTTAGCTTCTGATGCAAATCTTTATCAGGTGCATGCCTATGTTGTATGAAGTTAAAAGGCAATAGGCACAGTTTCTACATTGTTCATCCTTCTTATATTGTATGTTAATTGACCACTCTTTGCCACAGCATACTTTTCTCTTCTTTCCCGAGTTAACGTGGCTTTTTGCTTTTTTCTTTCTTTTTTTACCATGAAAACATATTCATCCATTTTCTTTTCCTCCACTATTTTAGTTTCTATTTTCTAGCATTAGCAGTTATGAGCAGGGAAAAGTCATAGTCCCAATTTCCCAATGTGCTCTTCTTCCTCATAGGACAGAAACCCGCCAGCATTATGCTATTGCCTAATAGAATCATAATTAAGCAGTTAAACTGCTTTCATGATTTCATAATGACTTGATGTAAATAAGTATTTACTTAGTATGAGGGTGCACCTAGCAAGTCAAAGGTTGTTTCGCATTCACACCTGAACTTTGTCCCATCTCTTTTTCGATTAAAATCTCTCATTATAACGCCGAAAGCTTCTAGCATATCTTTCGGTGAGCTTGTTTACGTATCTTTGATGCAGAGGCGGAGCTTGGATTTCAACTTTATGGGTTCTAAATTTTTGAACGATAACTTTGAGTGCTAATAATTAAGTTTTAAATATAGTGTTTGAACATATAACTTAAATGTTTTAACACAAGTAAATTGCTTGATTCACGAGTCATCCATAGGAAAGATAGTTTCAAGTACGCAATTGGGAGATTGATCACGAGAATGTCACACATCGCACATCGTATTGGGGCTGGGTGGATGTAATGGAGGCTCGTTTCCGGTGTTCTGTGTGATAAGAATGTGTCATCAAAGCTTAAAGATACGGTTTATAGAGCGGACGTGGTCAGACCGACTATGTAGTATGTGGCTTAGTGTTGGCCAGTCAAGAACTTGACTCCCATGTCCAGAAGATGAAGGTGGCTAAGCTAAGGTGGCTGAAATGTGGAAGTTGAGATGGATGTGCGGGAATACCAGGTTAGATAAAATTAGAAATGAAGCTATTCGGGACAAGGTAGGCGTGGCCCTTGTGGAGGACAAGATGCGGGAAGCTAGACGTAGATGGTTTGGGATTGTGAAGAAGAGAAGCACAGATGCCCTAGTGAGAGGTTGGCCTTGGAGAGCCTAAGAAGAGGTAGAGGTAGGCCGAAGAAGTATTGGGGAGAGCTGATTAGGCATGATATGGCGATGCTCTAGCTTACTAAGGACATGACCTTGAATAGGAAGGTGTGGAGGTTGAGAATCAAGATAGAAGGTTAGATAGCCGAGCCTTGTCCTTGCTCGTACCAATAGCTTTAGTGCATTACTTGGTGTTAGTCTTGCATTTTCTCATTCTTAGATTTCTGCTATCACTTGTTGTTTCTTTCGCTTCAGTTTTCTGATTGTACTACTTGGTGTTAGTTTTGTATTTTCGCTTCGGTTTGCTGATTGATTTGCTTGTCGTTGCTCCTTCCTTTTATCTTTCTTGAGCCGAAGGTCTACCGGAAACAGCATCTCTACCTTCTTAAAGGTAGGGGTAAGGTCTGCGTAACACTACCCTCCCCAGACCTCACTTGTGGGATTACACTGGGTTTTTTGATGTTGCACATTGTTTGAGCAAAAGCGTTGCTGGGTTCGGCTGAACCCTTAGCCGGGCTTCTAGCTCCGCCCCTATCTTGATATTTAGTTATCAGCATGTCATTGCTTCCGCAAGCATGTCCTAATACGTGAAATTCCAATGTCTGATTTGATTGATTGCTAGCTTACTTCAGCTGTGTATGTTAGTCTCTTGCTTATTGACAATCTAAATCGTAACTTAAAGTCATTGAATGTTTTCTTGGCAGGACGAGAAGCGGTTAAGGGAGGCTGTAGTTTTCGCCAATGTGTGTGCTGCCCTGGCAGTGACAGGGAGAGGAGCTATCCCCTCCCTACCTACAATAGATGCAGTTCAACATGCTCTACAGACAGAATATCAAGTTTGATTCTCATCATGTTGTAAACTTCCATCTACTTTGCTAAAACCACAGTACCTGATTCCCCCTATGATCCACTCCAACATTCGAACAAAGTAGCGCAAAACACACACTGTATCAGAAAGTTTTAGAACAAAATAATGATTATATTTTTGAATTTTCAACATGTCATTATACTCTGTTATATAGATTTTCTACATCCGTATACATTGTTCCACAATGCATGTATATACATCTATGCCCAGCTTCTCAATCACCGTTAAAATCTCCCAGTATTATTACAGTGTATAAGCAATATATTTATATTGTAGAACCGTGTGTAACAGGTTGCTAAGGTTGTTATACACCAGCTATACATTGTTATACACTGTAGATGCACTTGTTATGCACATTTACATTACAAAAATACCTTCCTCTTACCACTACACCTCCTTTTCAACCTGGGGTGGACGCAGTGTTATTAACGGGTTCAATTGAACCTATAACTTTCGACACGGAGTAACAATTTATATGTAAAAATTCATAATAGTTTGCATTCCCCATCCCCATCCATAACCAAGGAATGGGGAATAAATTTAGGATTTAGTCATACAGTGTAGCCATATATTTTTAATGTCTAAGTCGGATAATAGAAGCAATATGGTTATTTGCTAAAATGGCGTTGTTTGGTATCTTTTTTCTTCTTCTACTTCTCTCCTTCTGCTCCCATTCCCTATCCCCATCCTCTTCGCCTTCTCTTTCCCCTCCTCTTCCTCTGTTCCTTTCCCTTCACCTACTTACCCCTGTTTGGTATCTTTGTTGGTTGTTGTTGCTACTTCTTTTTTTGCTCCTCATTCTTCGTTCTTCTTTCTCTTCTTTTTCTTATTTCTCTTATTATCATCCTCTCTCGAGTCTCTGTCTCGTACTTTTCATGTTGCTCCTCCTTCTTGGTATAACGCTATCAGTATGAAAATTGAACTTCAAGTTAATGGTTCTAAATTTTCAATCACGATGTGCTACGTGCTGCTCATTTCATAATATTGCATCTGTTGAAAAAATAAGTATCATAAGATAAACACATTTATGCATGCTTTCTTACTACTACAAATTCACAGGGATACTATTGTGGTTCATACACGTTATCAAGATAATTTAAGAGAAGTAATGAGAAGTTCTTGAGAATCTATCTTAAGGGACAAGCAATAGAGGAGGACTAATGACAAGTTATTGTAATGTTTGAGTCATTCTTCAATTTGAAATTGACATGTATAAATATTTCAATCCAAAATAAATAGGGAGGAGAGGATTTGCCTAACGAATTCCTATAACAAATCATGAAATCAAAAAAGGATTATAACAATTTTGATCCTGAAGCTATTATGCTTCATTACTCTAATAATAATAATAATAATAAGAAGAAGAAGAAGAAGAAGAAGAAGCAGCGATCATGTGCCGCTTTATTACTTTGTGACTAAATTTTAAGTACAAGCCAAAAGTGATTACCTCATGTCATTTCTACCGCAACTTGCTCTAGGGATATTCAAGGGAAAAGATGATAAGTCGAACTTCAATGAAAAAGCAAATTAAACTGACATGAGACACCTTTTATTCATATCCAAAATCGTCAATTCCATTAATGGTCGTTGATAACGCTAATGCTAGTGTGTTACAACGTATTTTAACAAAGGAATATTTGTCGAACAGGATTCTCAAATGTCCAACCCGCTTTTGGTCGGGTAGATAATTTATGAATTTTAAACAAGGAAATTCTATTGGGTCAAGAGTTTTGAACCTGCTTGAGCCAAAGTTGTTCCAATGAATAATTAGCCAAGTTGAAGAAGAGAAAAATCAAGTGGTTGGAGTCGTAAAGAAGTCGAGCGGAGTGAGAATGAGAAGCTGATGCCGCAAAGCCAAAGATATTTTGAATTAGCTAGCTTGTTGAATAGTGATGAGACCCATTGTCCTTGTATAATCACTCCTAGGCAGTTGACTTAGTGAAGATATGCTAGGTAGAAGTTTTTCATTAGTCGACGTTTTATATCCATGTATGAACTGTGGAAACGGTACATGAATTTGGCTTAAAAGGGAAGAGTACCAAACCATTCAAGATTGCCTGTAAAAAATTTCTGCTTTTACGGACGTAAAACTTTTGTAGAAAACTACTCAAAAAATAATTTAAATTGACATAAAAATATGATATATAATGTGGCTCGATTTAGCTTATTTAAACCAAATTTAGAAAACAATCAACAATATTTAATTTTGGTGTATATATAACGCATGCATGTGCGGGCTCTATACTTATTTATAAATAGTATAAACAAAACTTTCCATATGCTTTTGTCGTGAATGTCTATCTTTTAGAGAGATTTTAGAGTTTGTTACTTTGTGGCTAAGTCACTTTTTCCCCATAAATAGAGAGGTTCTATTCCATTGTAATTTGTCCCAAATCAATAATAATATTCTCTCTCTCTCTCTCTCTCTCTCTCTCTCTCTCTCTCTCTCTCTCTCTCTCTCTTCTTCTTCTTTTATTATTTTATAAGACGTTATCAGCACGAGACTCTAATCAATTGAGTAGAGGCTAGTTGTTTTAATTTGTAGATATACTATTAAATAGTTGTCTAATGTTTGAGAAATTAAACTACCCGTGGAGAGAATATATAGGAATTTGCATGAGGCTCTTGCCTGAATGCAATGATATTCCAATACTAGGCATCTGCTTTGGTCACTGGGCTTTGGGATAAGTGCATGGTGCTCAACTTGTACATAATATTAAACATAATGATTGTCAATTGTTCCATGAACTTCATTCAGGAATAAATTCTGGATTTAAGGTAAATATTCTACCTTATTTTTCTCTTTTAAATTCATGAAATTCTATAATTTATTTTTAAATACAAGTAAAGATAATAAATTTTGATTATAAATCTAATAGAGTCTGTAAGAAATTATAATCACCCGAGTGGTAAAATTTCTATGTCTTACCACGATCAAATTCATATATGATTGTGAGCACAAGAGTGGAATCCGTCCCACTGAATTTGCTTCATCTCACTCCCTTAAGAGAATGTGGTAGCAATATGTGATAAGACCGAAAGAAGATAAAATAATTACCGTAAAGATACATTGAGTACATCCTATACACGTATCATAAATCTTTACTCAATGTGACCATCAATGGATATGGACGTGGCAATAGACGAAATTATAATCGTCATTATTATGGTAATGAGAACAATAAGGATTCTCAAAATAATCCTTCACTCTGTGAAAGTAATATTTATTATCGATTTGACATGAGATTTTGTAAAGCACATATAAAAGCACATATAGATGATTATGGTCCATTCATGATGTAAATGTGACAGCATATAATTTATGCATACATATGTATTCTTGGAAGAATATGAACGTGCTAGTGGTAGTGAATATACCACACTCTCTTTCTAACTCACCTCTAGAATGAGTTTTGAGATGAAATAAGAAAATAGTTTCATTATTATGACATGAATAGTTATTGATCACGTACCTATTGTGTTTATGCCGAAATATTAATGGCAATGTGATTATTACAGTGCAAAAGTAATGGATGTAACATATCTTGTCTATAATGATTTTAACCATGACCATAATGGTATAACTTTCTTCTTGAAAGAGATATTCACTGTATGGATGTTGATGAATATGTGGTAGTACAAAATTAATTGAGAGCTACGGAAGAGCTAATTTACTATTTTGAAGAGATTTTTCTTATCATAAGGCATTGTGTCGTGGTAACTCTCAAAGAAACTTATTGAGTTTCTAAAGTATTCGCGAAAGCGGTTGGTTATATTGAAATTATAAATAAAGGAAAGAGTTAATATCTTCTATTATTACAATTTATAGCGGGACAATATGTATGTAAAAAGCTACCCGCTTTATTCTTAGTTTGTACTACACAAATAATGCCACAATAAAGTAGAAGTTTATTGATATAAAAATTCATAACATAAGAAATTTGGAGTTTATTGATAATTGCACATGTCATAGTGTAAATCTGAAGTTTATCAATATTGATAATTTATCCAGTTGGCATAATTTACATGGGTAAATATTAAAGAACTAGAAAGTTCTTTACGAATTCTCTTATAATGCTTGTTCTCATTAATTAATAGACCAACTAAAATTGAGATTGAATCCCATGAATGCTGGAAATATCAAAGGTGAATATGGGCTCATTTACTTGCCATGTATGCCACATAAGATGCATCTATGAGATGGACATGTATGATTATTATTAACCCGCAACCTGGTGTTTGCGAGGTAATTTGTTCAATAATTTAATTTAGAGCATAAGTTTTAGATTTTCTATTCAAGACAGATCATCTTGATAAGTTGGTTTACATCATAGTTGATTTAGCAAAATAATTTATTGAGTGCCTCCACTTAATAGCTAAATTATTGCTTATGAGAACAAAGTTATCTATATCAGTTTGATATACGTTATATACGAAAATATATTACATTCTCCTCGCAAAAGTGGTTCAGGGTAAGGCACCAAATAATTCATCTTAATATTATTGATGTGCGATGTATATTTTGATTAACACCATAACGCACAAAGGTGCATTTCCAAAATTGAGGGAGCAAGTTAATTTTTTTCTAACATAAGGGGAGAAAAGATAACCAGTTGAGAAAAGATTACATGGAATGAATTATCATTTGTATATCTAGATCCTGGAATAAGATAATATGAACTTGACGTTCATAAAAAGATAATTCATCTGCAATATATTGCAAAGCATCCAGACGCATTTGCTGACCCAAAGAAAGTAACGATATTCTCACTGCAAATACTCCTATTAGAATAAATCCTAGAAGGATAAAGTCTATGGTACGCTTAAAGCGTATAGACAAATCGGTTTCAAATAAAATTATTGCTAAAAATGATGAGCAAATGATCAAAATGATCATAATAAGGAGGCAAATGATCTAGAAGTACATGATATTGTTGCGTTTTTTCTTTAAAGGGTGTGAATGGGAAATGGAAGAGGCACATTTTGGATTGCACCTCTCCATCTCACCTTTCATTTGTCTATAAATTTAGAGGCTTGGCCTTATTTTTAAGAGATAAAAGATCTGAAAATTTCTCCCCTCTTTTCTATTCTATTGCATTATTTTCAAATAAATATAAGTGTCAAGTGTGATTTGCTCCGTCTGTTGAGTTCGCTGAAATTCTGTAATTTCGATTGCCAGTATTGCAAAATAGTTATTCCGTTCTATCCTGGGAGGAATTAATCCAAAACCTTGGGCAACAGTGAGGGGATTAAATTCCTTAAGGACACACAAGCAACTTGTGGGCTCGGAATTATTTTTTCTGTTTTGTTTATTAAACTAATGTTTCTCTGCTTCTCTAATTTTCTGATTTTTAACACAGTAATACCAACAGATATAACACTTCATAAAATCTCAGGAGAGATTCAGGTACCTGAAAATATGAATGTAGAGATCTCTATATTATGTCTTTATGAAAAAAGGAGGTTGGAACCGATATAAAATGTTCGTCGACTACATCTATGATAATGCTAAATATACATGAGGATGTTAAGTCTGGATAAACAATTCAAGTAGAATTGGTTTCATATGAAAGACATGTAGTTTTGGACTTGCAGTTCAAACACTTGAAAGTATAAAGTCAATGGTATGTGCAATCACTTTTATCTATCTTATATGTCTAGCATGACATGAAAACTTGATATGCATCTAAAGTCTATTTATATGTTTTATATGACTTAGCTTATATGACAAACCCGGAAGGATTTAAATCGCTTAAAACATATACAATTCTCAGTCATGAAGTACCACATCCTAAGTGCAATTTGTGCACATATGAATCTTGCTATACCTATAAGCATGATAATGTGATAGCGAGAATTTTTACATCTATAGAGACATTGAAAAGGCCATTCCACGATATATATATATATA